CATGATAATCCGTGGCTCTACATGCTAAGTCTATATATTCACAATGTCGATAACTGTCATAAATAATCATATATATATACATTTTAACGAATGTATAATTATGGCAATGCCAGTAGCACTAATTATTCTAATGTAGTTTAAATCTCTCCATCACACGAATTTGGCAGCTTCACAGTTGGGCAAAATAATGCCATAGTCAAAAAAGGATCTTATATCTTCTATATTTTTTCAGCCAGTAACCAAATTACAAACAATTTGTGGTCAATGAATTGGGAGCTATTAGAGTCAAACTGATTTTTTCGGAAAAATATATAACCCTAAGGAATAAAACATTTTCAAAGATTGACTAGACTCGAGGCGAGATATATATATCTATTTATATTACTTATCTATCGTTAAAAGTAGTATTTGCTTTCAAAATAGAATAAAAACAGGCAAGCAAGCAGAGCAGTTTTGGAAGCATGGCTCCAGACTCAAGTAAGGTTATTAGTTCAAAGTATTGAGAATAGAATGAATGCACCGACCTTTAAAGGAGTAATAATAAAAAAGTAAGGATGCATATTGAGTGCTGATACAGTTATGAAGAGTCGACTATTTACATGGGATAAACGACCACTTTGAAGCGAAGAGTTGATTCGGTCAACAAAGAGAAGTTGCAAGCAAGCTCATGGAACAGTGGAAGCAAATGTCTATGGAGATGTGTGTATATGAAGTAAGGAGAATATAAAAAAAGATGTGATTAAAGATGTTGCTGACGAGTCAAACTATTCCTTCAGGGTGGATATTGATGGATAAACCGAGTAAGACCTAATTATGTGCTGTCGAAATTCCACACACTAGTTGATAACGATTCCAGTCGAAGTGTTCCGAATGCATTATCACGCAAAAATAAGGCTTAAATATTAACTGTAGGAAATTCAAATGACTAGATCCCGATAAACGTTATCACCAAGTGGAAAAGTAAGTCACAGAAGCCCTGGCATAAGGACAATGAGCCCAAACAAGAGTTTCAGATGAAGGACAGCGATAAACCCGTTTTCTTAAGCTTATAATTCTGTAGCCAAAAAAAAGCAAAAATGTGAGAACCCATGTTCATTCGCGTTGATTTTTTCGAAGAAATGAGGGATAATGACACTGAGCTCAGGAAAAAGAAATAGTAGGAATTCGAGAAAAAAATACAAAAGTAGGGATATGGAAATGATACCAGCCAACTTAAAATTCGCCTAATAGCATTGCGCGAGTAGGCAAAGGAAGATAAAAGTCTACGACATATGCATCCATAAGCTCGAGTATGGGAGGGATCAACTGAGATGAAATTATACAGTAAGTGAAGGCATGAGAGACACCGGAGGGTCAAGGGAATTGCATAAACAAGATAAAAACTCCAATAATCCAGGCGATATCTCAAAACAAAACTTGCAGGATATACATTAAGATGAAGAGGAAATAATAAAAATGCTGAGGAGAGAATATGAAACGGCACTATTAAAGAAATGGCTTGCCTGAGGGATCATAAAATAGCCGGTATTTCAAAATATGGTGATATACATCCTGAAAAACTGCAAATTGTGAGTAGCTGGAACAGTTTATTGTGATTTACTTCGCAAGATAATCTGAGTCTCGGGTCAGCCATGAAGACGACCTATGTTTTAGTCCTATGAATAGGCTCGCTTTGATAGAAAACAGATCCGTCTGGGGCAAGGGAGGAGGGTAAAAGCTCAGGCTGACAGGTTCCCCAAGGTATTTGGTTGGAGATAGGACAAGGACAATGGATTTGTACGTCAAATTCGTGATCAGAATCTTGGTAAAAAATAGTACTTGGGATACCGTAGATTGGTGCGAATGAATCCAAAGGAGTGAGCGCCGCTTGATGCAAATATTTTCAACTTTTTATTAGTGCGTGCGCTAAGTTTGATAGGGATGGGGATAGAGTGGCGATGATTGGTGGGTTGCGTAAGAAATGCTGCTGGCATCGCCTCTGGCCCGAGACCCTTCCAAATAAGAGAGATAAGGGCGAGAGAAAGAAGAGAGACTAAAATCGCGAGTGGAGCCCATGGAGTTTGAATCGAGATGCCATCGGTTTTTGAAGTTTAGGTCAGGCCAGATGCCAGGCCCGGCACGGTTGGTCGTCCAGCCTAAATCCAATAAACAAACCGAGATATCAGCCTGACAATTGGATAGTGTGAAAGACACTTTGCCGAACAAAGGAAGGCAGGAAAGTGGGGAAGAGGAAAAGTCCCGTGACACACGGAGGGCGTAGCAATAAAAAGGAGTTGGAGGAAATCGGCCGGCCGGCCAGTAAGATGAGGAGAAAAAAGACAACAGATATGCACAGAGTTAGACACTGGCCGTCGGTGAACCCGAACGACCCCTACTGTGGGCTCGGTGTATCTCGTATGGGGTCAACACGCCTCGTGACATACGCTGCTGCTGAGGCAACGGTACCTCGGCCGGCGGGACCATGAAGCAGCATCTACAGTCGGTCGGGGCAGGGAGCAAATGGGGCGATCGAGACTGCTTGTTCCGAGCCGGGATCGGAGTTTCCGGCGGGGTCTGCGCAAGAGGCTGACCGCCGTACTGTGGATAGGCGTAGCAACGACCCCTGCCGTCGTCACCGCCACCGCAACCACCGCCAACTCCGACACCGGCACAAGCACCGGCGCAGGCACCGGCGCGTCCAACGACCTCGAGTGGTAGGTCGAGCGGGTCGGCGGCGAGGCCGGCGCTGGAGTAGAGTGCGAGACCGCCGGCCTCTCCGATGAATGGGACGTCGGAAATGCGTACCTGCGAGGCACGCCCCGGCGCCAAGCCGGCCACGGCCAGCTCGGCCATTCGTTGCTCCAATTTGTGGCGCAAAAGGCCGTACTGATAGAAGATGGCATTCCGGTACTCGGCCTCCTCTTTGTCCAGGATACGAAGGAAATTGGTCAACTCGGCAGAGCTGAAATTACTCCACTAGCGGAGTGAGAGCAGTGGTAGTGGCAGGGGCGGATGGAAAGAGACGAAGTGAAAATAGGAATTTTACTTATTCATGAGAGGCTCACTTTAATTCGTTCAAGAGGATGAAACCTTGCTATAAACGAAAAATTAGATTTTTGTGTGACTGTGTACTCTGGACTGCTCGGAACTATAAAGCCCTAGTGAAAGCAGGTCACGTCCCTCCCCCTCCAAGCCGAAGAATCCATGCTGAATTTTCTTCTATCATCTGAAAAAAATTTACAAAAAAATTTCGACATTTTTCATTTGACGTCTCTTCTTCCAATGTT